GGACTAGGGGCCCAGCGGGCAGGGAACAGAGCTCCTTCCTGAGGACAGCTCTTGGCCAGGGCTCCCAGCCAGAGCCTGAGCTGGGATGGCAAAGGCGGCCGAGCCCCCCACAGCCCACCCACGTCCAGTGCACACACAGCTGGCCCATCACAGCACGTGCATCCATACGGGCCTCCTCCTGCTTCTCACTCAGCCCTCCAGGCGCTCCAACCAATCAATCAGAACTGGCCCCCCAAAACTCAGGGCAGATGTTTGGGTCCCACATCAGGGCCTTCTCCACACTTGCCTGGGCTTCCCTAGCCTTGGGCTCCAGGCCACCTGGGGGTGCCCCCTGCTGGGGGAACCCTTTCTTCCATAAAAAGATGAAACCTTATATTTTAAAACTGCACTGGTATGAAGATAGGCTTCACTATCGATAGTCACTAGTATTATTACATTCATTCCTTTCCTTTGATTTAAAAAAAATGAAAACATTTCTGTGGGTTCCTAACTGTATGAGGAGCCCTCGACGCTGTGCCTGATGGAGAAGTGGCCTTACCCCACGCCCAGGCCCGCAGGGTGGGGGCCAGCCCCACGCTGGGGAGGGGAAGGGTGGAGGACTCACCCACGCAGGCCCGGCCAGCTCGGGAGGGGTTGGCGTCCTTGGCCGTCAGGCACCGGCAGGTGTAGGAGCCCTCCAGGTTGAGGCACTGGGCGGCCGGCGAGCAGTCGTGCTCCAGGCTGTTGGCACACTCGTCCCAGTCTGTGGGAGGGACGGAGACTGAGCGGAGGCCGGGGGAAAGGCCAGAGGCTGGTCAGGAAATGGACGGGAGCAGAGCAAAGTTCTTCCTGATGGTCTTTCAGGGAATCGCCCAATGGCGAGGCCAGGGTGAGGGAAGTGCCCGGGTGTCCCGCACCCTTGGGAGGAGGCTCTGCACAGACCCTTCCCCAGGGACCTGCACCTGCAACCAAGGCCACGGGCTAAGCCTGATGTGCCAACCCTCCCCGCTGGGCTGATAATGTGGCAAAGATTAGGGGATGGTGGTTACTGTTTAAGGCAGTGATGGCGAACCTTTGAGCTCGGTGTGCCAGCATTTTGAAAAACCCTAACTTAACTCTGGTGCCGTGTCACATATAGAAATTTTTTGATATTTGGAACCATAGTAAAACAAAGATTTATATTTTTGATATTTATTTTATATATTTAAATGCCATTTAACAAAGAAAAATCAACCAAAAAAAATGAGTTCATATGTGTCATAGGTTCACCATCACTGGTTTAAGGTATGAACCCACAGATGTGAATATATTTCTTCCTTGTTTATTCTTTGTTCCAGATCTAAATCTCTCTAATGTGTCAACATGCCCTAATACTTGGTGTTCAAGAAAGAAATAGGCCCTAACCGGTTTGGCTCAGTGGATAGAGCGTTGGCCTTCAGACTGAAGGGTCCCAGGTTCGATCCCGGTCAAGGGCATGTAATGGTTGTGGGCACATACCCAGTGGGGAGTGTGCGGGAGGCAGCTGATCGATGTTTCTCTCTCATCAATGTTTCTAACTCTCTATCCCTCTCCCTTCTTCTCTGTAAAAAAATCAGTAAATATATTTTTTAAAAAAGAAAGAAATAGGACAATGACGGAGCCAGATGCCCAGTTAAGTATAATGCGAGCTTTCTCTGACATGGACAGGAATGGCCCCAGAGCACCCCCTCTGGGAAATGACTCTCAAAGTCCCCGTGTCACCAGGAGCCTTCTGATTCGGGCAAGGAAATGCCAGGTAAGCCCTGTCCCTGTAAATACCCAGTGGCCCCGGCCCTGGCTCACCCACCCACACCCAGTCCCGCCCTGCCTTTCCCCATCGGCCGCAGCCAGGACTGGCATCAGGCCAGAGTGAGAAACAAAATTCACCAGGAACGCCATTCCCTTCTTTCTCCCGCCCTCTCCGGTCCCCTCTCCTGCACCCCTGGGACCACCACCCGTCCTTCCCTACCTGCTTAAGAAAGAATCTGATGGTCTCGTGCGTTTGGACACACGGCTAATCAGTAAGGGCTACGTGCAATAAGCACAACAAACCTCCAGGAATGAATATCTCAAACTGCTTTCCAGCCTGGGGGGGTCTGGGGGGCAGTTTCCCACACCCCCAGAATTCCATCCTTCCGCCCACCCCGCTCTTGGGGTCACTGCCTGCCCCACCTCCCCTCCCTCAGGGGAACAAGTGGCTCCAAGCAGAGTCACCTCGGCTGGCAGGGCACACTAGGGCCCTGAGAGGGGCTGGATTCCCATGTGGGGGTGGCTGCGAGGCCCTCTGCACACGCCTCCCTGAGCCTGGGCAACGTGCCTGATCGTGCCCAGTGCGCCACAGGAGACGGCCGGGCTGGGGTCAAGTCAAGATAAGGGACGAGGTCAGTTTTGTGCAGAGAAACTGCAGCTGATGCTCAGGGGCCCGTGTTGTGGTTTTCAGTTTTGTTTCATGTGATCTTCACGGAAGCAGCTCCCCGGAGACCAGCAGGCTCACTTGTCAGCTGATGCAACACTTAAACACACACACCACGCACACATACCACACAACACACACACACATCACACACACCACACTCACCAAACACACCTCACATACCCCACACATACCACCACCACCACCACCACATCATATACATACACACCTACCACACACCACGCACACACATCATGCACACCCACCACACACACCACACACCATACACACCTCACATACCCCACACACTTCACACATACACCACACACACCACCACCACCATACACACATCACATACATACACACCTACCACACACCACACACACACATCACGCACACCACACTCACCAAACACACCTCACATACCCCACACACCTCACACACATACCACACACACCACCACCATACACACATACACACACCACACACCACACATATACCACACACACACACATCACATACACATACACATACCACACCACACCACATACCATACACACCCCACACACCCCACACACATACCCCCACCACCCATATCACACACCATAGACACCTCACACCACACACCACACACACCATTACCACCACACACACATCACATACACACACACACACATACCACACACCACACACACACCACTCACCACACACACCACCACCACCACCAACACCATCACCATCACACACACACCACACACACACACACCACACACACACCTTGCCTGGGCTCTTTGGCAGACAGGGCCCTGCTGGCCCAGCCCCCAGGTGATCAGGAACCCTGCCCGATGACCAGCCCGACCAGCCCACAGGCAGCGCCAGGGTGCTGGGGGATGGAGGCCAGAACGGAGCCCAGGCTGGCCCGGCAGCAGGGCCCCGAGGTGCTCAAGGTCCCAGTCGAGATCTGGGCT